TAGAGAGAGAAATCAGGAATGACTTAGCCAAAATAACAAGAGTACCTTGATCGTCGCGTGTCGTGCAGACCGTTGATCGGATTAAGCTGAGAATTCGCTATATTGAAGCTCGCTCCAAGAGCTTCAAGATAAGCCAAGTTGGCTCACGAAAAGTTTTGCCATTACGAAGTTATGGCTCGGAGAGCGTTGGCCTAGCGTCGTAGTGCTAGCGTACTAGCGTTGACTCAAGTTGCATTACGCCGTCGAACTGTGTGGAAACAAAATTCTAGTGATGAAGGAATTCGCTTGAATCAATTGACTATATCTAGGTACAAACAAAGAAGGAATACATAGTTCTAGCTAGCAAGGACAACCTGGGAACAACCAGGGACGATTCCAAATAATTTCAAGCAACAGAACCAACCTGGCTGGACAAAATAGTAGGTGGTAGGTTGGTAAACAACCTTTGGTACTGTTTTTACTGTCAAGACTAGAGAGGAAAGTATGTCGATTAGGTTAGGGGAGGGGGTACAAGAGTATCGAGAGAATTGTTGTACCCTCTAAGAATCACCCCTACACAACCTAGAACTAAATAATATGAAACATATAATTTGACACACCCCCATAGGTGAAGTAGGGGGGATAGCCAAACCTAGCAATGGTCACAAGACCAGTCAAGCAGAAAAGCAAGCAAGACAAAGCTCAGGGTGGATCTCAAGGACACCACACAGTCTGAGCACAAGCAGGTGGCCACAAGGCCAGTTCACATGCAGGTTTATAACAAAGCAAGAGATACAGTGATCACAACCTAGCAAGAGTAAACATGCAGGTATATATATATAGTGATCACAGTACAAGCAGGGTCAAGAAGTAAGCAAGTGAGGTCCAGTAGGCACAAGGCCTAGCAGAGTGCAGAAGCGCTGATGGTCACAAGGCTGAAGCGCCTTGGTGAACACATCAGCAGTGTTGGCCTCAGTGGCCACGTAACGCAGACAAAGCTGACCGCGCTGCTGCAGCTCTCGAGCAAGGAAGTACCGCAGGGCGATGTGCTTCGTTCTGTGCTCCAGTCTGTGCTCCTCACACAAGGCAATGGCAGCCTTGTTGTCGACGTACAGCACTGGAGGAGAACGAGGCCGCTCTCCCAAGTCGGTCAGCAGGTAGGTCAGCCAGCGTAGCTCCTGGGCAGCCATGGCTGTGGCGTAGATCTCAGCCTCGCAACTGGAGCTGAGAACAGAAGAAGAGCGTGTAGAACGCCAAGAAACTGAGCCGGAGCCAAGGCTGAAGGTGTAACCCTGAGACGACCGCTGAGTAGCCTGGTCGTCCGCCCAAGAAGCGTCTGAGTGTCCAGTAAGTACAACTCGGTCTCGCCCTCCAAGCACTAGCCCCATGCCCGACGTACTGCACAAGTAGCGCAACACCCTCTTAGCGGCATCCATGTGCTCCTTCCGGTGACGGCCGGGAGCGACATAGCGTGCAAGGATGCTAAGAGGGCATGCCAGGTCAGGTCGAGTGCAGATCATCAGGTACATGAGGCAGCCCACAAGCTCTGGATACGGGCCACTCGGCTCTACGGACTCATCCGAAGGCAGAGTTGAGAGCGAGTGACTGAGAGCGAGTGACCGGTAGGCAGAGGAGTGGACTGAGGCGAGGAGTACGTGAAGCGGAAGCGCTGGAGGATCTGCTGCACCATGTGTGACTGAGTCAAGGTGATGGTGCGCCGTGCTCTGTCCCGGGTGATCCGCAAGCCAAGATAGCTCGTCAGTTCACCCAGGTCTGTGCACGTGTGTCTCCTCTGCAGCTCCAACTTCACGTGGGCGAGTGCCGCGGTGTCAGCAGTGGCAAAGACCAAGTCGTCGACGTACACGAGGATGTAGAACGGCGGCAGTGAGGTGTCTGTGCGTAGAAACAGTGACGGGTCAGCAGTAGAAGGCGCGAACCCAAGTGCCGCAAGTGTCGTCCTCAGTGTGTCGTGCCACTCACGTGGCGCCTGGCGGAGACCGTAGACCGGCCGCTGGAGCCTCCACTGGGTACCAGGAGGAACCGACCCAGTGAAGCCAGGAGGGCGACGCAGCCAGATCTCCTCGTGCAGGCTGCCCTGCAAGAAAGCAGTGCTGAAGTCAAGTGAGTGAAGCTCGTAGTCGCGCTGAGCGGCTATGTGTAGCAGCACCCGAAGAGTGGTCATCTTCGGGGTGGGGGAGAAGGTCTGGAAGAAGTCTACTCCCTCTCGCTGACTGAAGCCTCGAGCAACGTAGCGCGCCTTGAAGACAGGAGGAGAACCCGGCGGCCGCTTCACCCTGAAAATCCACATGCCACTGACGATGTTCGCCCCAGGTGGGGGAACCTCGTCGACGTAGGTGCCTGTGGACTTCCAGGATGCCATCTCTGCGTCCATGGCTGTCTGCCACTGAGAGGAGTAGGGACCCGCCATCGCCTCAGCGTAAGAGCGCGGGGTCGGGATGTCTGGTGCATCCGGGTCTCCCTCAGGGGCAACTAGCATGGACACGAGACGGGGCAAAGCAGCAGCAAAGCACTGGAACTCCTCCTGTCTGTCCTCAAGGACGTCCGTGCCAAGAGCACACTCACCCCCGACGGACGGAGGACAGACAGACTCAGACTCAGCAACAAGGCTAGCGGCGTAGTCTAGACGACAGCGGGCAGCAAAGTCAACCAACTCAGCGACCAGAGCAGACGCAGCAGAGGACTCAAAGGAAGGGTCAGTGACAACAGTAGCGAGGAGACGCGTGACTGTGGGACTGGCAGCACGACGGGAGTCAGACTCCGGGTCAGGAAGAGTAGGTAGAGAGGACGCAGGAGGAGACGGCAGAGGGACACGCTGAGGAGCAGTGGAGGGACGCAGAGTCATGTAGTGAGTGCCAGGGACAGGAGGAGGACGCTCACGCGGGACACGACGACCAGTGCGAGCAGTACGGACAGGCGACGCAGGACGAGACTCAGGCTCACGACGCTCTGTAAGACCTCCTGTGGGACCAGTGTAAGGAGAGGGAGCAGGGAGAGGCGAGGCAGGCGGTAACTGTGACTGCGGCTGGACAGGCGGAGGACACTCTACGGAGGGAGGAGGACAACGAGGAGGAGCCTGACCAAGAACCTGCTGAAGAAGTGGTACGAAGTACGGTCGCGGCCGCGCAGCGTCTCCAGAACCAGCAGAGACACCAGCGGCAGGGTCCTCAGCACCAGCAGCAGCTCCACCGTCCGGGTCCTCAGCACCAGCAGCAGCTCCACCGCTCGGGTCCTCAGCACCAGCAGCAGCTCCAACGCCCGGGTCCTCAGCACCAGCAGCAGCTCCACCGTCCGGGTCCTCAGCACCAGCAGCAGCGCCACCACTCGGGTCCGCAGCACCAGCAGCAGCTCCAACGCCCGGGTCCTCAGCACCAGCAGCAGCTCCACCGCTCGGGTCCGCAGTACCAGCAGCAGCTCCAACGCCCGGGTCCGCAGCACCAGGAGCACCACTCCGAAGACTGCAGCGCCGGGTGTACCACTCTCGGATCTGCTGAATGGGGGGGAGCTCCTGGGCAGGAGGGGAAGTACTGGTACGAGCTCCAGCAGCACCTCTCCGGAGGCGGCAGTACTGTAGGTACCTCTCCTGCAGCTGCCGGGAGGAGAGGGGTCCTCCAGGTAGAGTACGCTCAGGGTCAGCACCCCCAGACTCAGCACCCCCAGACTCAGCACCTCCAGGCTCCGCACCCCCAGGCTCCGCACCTCCAGACTCAGTACTCCCAGGCTCAGCACCCCCAGACGCAGCAACCCCAGGCTCAGCACCCCTAGGCTCAGCAGGACGAGAGTCGACAGCTACCTCGACAGGCTCACCTGGGTCTACCTGGGACACACCTGAGGGAGCGGCACCCTGAGGGGGGAGGGGGTCTGGTACCTCAGCACCTGGAGCGAGGAAGAGAGGCGGGGGGGGAGCGGGGCAGTGCGGTAGGGGAAGATGCGGTAGAAGGGAACGGACTCGTCAAAAGTGACGTCCTGAGAGGCCAGGACACGACGCGAGGTGGCGTGGTAGAACTGCCAACCAGGGGCGTCCGGGACAAAGCCAAGGAAGACACAGGGGACAGCGCGACGGGAGAGCTTGTCCGCGGACGTGTCTCGAACAAAAGCTCGGGATCCCCAGACCCGAAAACGCGACGCATCGCCAGCCTCTCCCGTCCAACGCAGGGTCGGAGAAGTCTCCGGGAGGGAGACTCGGGGCCAGAGGTTGAGCTGATGCGCAACGTATCGGACTGCAAACGGCCACAGAAAATGGGGGGCAGCCGCATGAACCAAGGAGGTACGAGCGACCTCCATGACCAAGCCAATGCGGCGCTCAGCAACCCCATTCTGCTGTGGAGAGGCCGGAAGCGTGAACGACTGCTCAATGCCCTCCTGCTGACAGAAGGCCTCCAAGAGGCCGGAGGAAAACTCCCCACCTCTGTCAGAGTGCAGACGCAGGACAGGGAAGTCGGAGTGGAAACGCTTGCTGAGCTGGAGACGAGATCTGCGGATCCAAGGGATCAAGACATCAGGGACGTCACCCTTGGCGCGCAAGGGGAAGACCGTGGTGTAGCGCGAGAAGTCGTCAACAACAATCAGGAAGTACCTCTCCTGACCCTGTCCACGGACGCGGGCTGGGCCCCACACGTCCAAGTGGAGCGTCTGCAAAGGAGCAGTCGTCGGGGGAAAGGAGGAGTGAGGAGCGGCGCGCTGCCGCCCCTCGACACAGGGAAGACAGGGAGGAGCAGGCGAGGGTGGGAGGGGAGGGAGAACCCTGGGAAGACCAGCAACAAGGTCCCGTTTGTGCATGGCCCGAAGGCGCTGCACAGACGGGTGACCAAGGCGGTGGTGCCAGAGGACAGTCTCATGCCCCAGAGAGCGACACGAGCAGGGGGCGGACAGCTGACCTGACGCAGACGCAGACGCAGACGCAGCTACCTGAGGGGACTCAGTGGTCAGTGTGTACAGGTCCGACCCCGGCTCCCGAGTGAAGGTAGCCAGGTGACGGCCCGTCCGAGCACACGTGCAGTGTGTCACGCGCTCGTAGGCAGGGGTGAACTGGTGAACACCCCCGTCCTGGAGCGCACTACCCGCCACCAAGTTCGTAGAGAACGAGGGGAGGTAGAGACCAGACAGTGTGCCAGACGGGACCGCAGGACAGGGAAGAACAGTGGAGGAGGTCGCAATGACCGGACCCCCAGAGGGGTCAGCGAGGGAGACAGCAACTGGCCGAGCGAGTGGCTCAAGGGCAGTGCGATCTCGAAAGAAACAGCGAGAAGCACCTGAGTCCAGTGTGAAGGTGTGCAGTGCCGCAGTCGACTCAGTACCAGGGGAGACAGACTCACCAGCACCTAGAGCGGCAGCCTCACCAGCACCTGGGGTAGCAGACACGCGAGCACCTGGAGCTGCAGACGCACTAGCACCTAGAGCAGCAGCCTCACTGGTCAGAATGCCCGGGTCGGGCGGAACACGCAAGTACTGAGCACCCTCTCCACTAGTAAACATAGCATACATGGCAGTGAGAATAGCATCAAAGTCTAAAGCCCAGATATCAACTCCCTTCTTCTCCAGATCAAACCAGCGGGGCAGCTCATTGCCGTCAGGGAACTGAGTGCGCCAAGCGTCGTCAAGGCGCGCGAAACAGCGCGGCGTGGGGTGCGGCTTCCCACACGTCTGACCAGCGCGGTCACCAGTGCGGATGACGTACGTGCAGCTAAGGCCACCCGCCCCCCCACGCTGCGCATACCACTCACGGGCCTCCTGGAGCGACGGAGTGTGCTGCTGGCTCGGACCACCGCCAGCGCCTCCACGACCACCACCGCCGCTGCCACCTCCTCGACCACCCCCTCCCCTGCCGCTGCCACGACCACCGCCGCCCCCGCTGCCGCCCCCGCCCCTGCCACCGCCTCCGCCGCTGCCGTCACTACCCCCACTGCCGCCACTAGTCTCTCCAGCCCCTCCGCCTCCACTCCCACCGCCTCCACCCCCGCCTCCCCGGCCGCCTCCTCCACCCTTGCCTCCTTTGGTCCTGCGGCGCCCGCTCGAAGCAGACGCGGCCCCGACCTTCTCAGCACCAAGGAGGTCGACAGCAGAAGCAGAGGCGACAGAGGGGAGAAGGGGGGAAGGGGAACACCCCTCAAAGAAGGGGGTGCGGGGCTCGCCACGAGAGGCACCTACGGCGACGATGCTCGCCTCAGCTGCAAGTAGGTCCTTCTCGAGGAGGGCAATGGTGAGCTCAGTAGGGGAGCGAGCTAGAAAGGAATCCCTGACTGTGCGCAGAGAGTCAGGGAGGCGGGTGACAATGTGGTAGAGAGTGAGCCAGAGCGGGGGGGGGGTTGCTAGCAAGGAACTCGGCAGGCATAGCAGCGCGAAAGCGGGCCTCACTAGTCTTGAGGTGGGTGATGAGGTCAGCAACAGTGTGAAAGGAGGCCAGGTCGGGGAACAGGTAGGGCAGTGAGAGGCGGCCTAGTGCGGCAGACGCAGGTGAGGAGTAACGAGCAACTACGGCTGTGTACAGTTCCTTAGCAGTCTTGCACTGGCCGAAGTGCTCGCGCTCATCTAGCGGTAGGGAGTTGCGAATAGCGAAGCGAGCGTGCGCGTCACGGGTCTGCCACTGGGAGCGCAGAGTGCTGTCAGCAGTAGTGTCAGGGGCAGTAGCATGGCCTAGGGCGTGATCGTACAGTGAAATGTCCTCCTTGGCAGTGAGCTGTAGGAAGAGGTGCAGGTCATCAAGCCAAGTATCAAACTTCACTGGGCGGCCCTCAGCATCGAAGGCTAGCACAGGAGGGCTAGCCATAGTAGCAGTAGGAGGAACAGTAGTAGCGTCAGTAGCAGTGACAGCAGCAGCAGTAGCGCGGTAGGGCAGGGCAGTGCGGCTCTAGCAGGGCAGGGCCGGGGCAGTGACGGCGGCGGCAGCTGCTGAAGGCTCGGGAACGGCCGCTGCTGCAGGGACGGCGGCGGCTGCTGTGGTATTCTCGAACGGCGGCTGCTGCTGCAGGCCCGGCGGTGGCAGCTGCTGCAGGTCTGGCGGCGGCTGCTGCTGCTGGCTCGGCGACGGCAGCTGCTGCAGGGTCGGCGGCGGTCGCTGCTGGAGGTCCGGTGGCGGCTGCTGCTGCAGGGTCGGCGGCAGCTGCTGCTGCAGGGTCGGCGGCGGCCGCTGCTGTAGGTCTGGCAGCGGCTGCGCCTGCAGGCTCTGCCGCGGCTGTTGCTGCAGGCTCGGCGGCGGCAGCTGCTGCAGGTCCGGCGGCGGCTGCTGCTGTAGGCTGGGCCGCGGCAGCTGCTGCAGGTCTGGCGGCGGCTGCTACTGCAGGTCCGACCGCGGCTGCTGCTGCTGGCTCGGCGGCGGCTGCTACTGCAGGTCCGGCCGCGGCTGTAGTTGCTGCAGGGTCAGCGGCAACAGCTGCTGCAGACGAGAGGGAAGGGGACCGCGACGGGTCCTGGAGGGGCCGCGAAAGGCGGCAAGGGGCGGCGACGAAGCCGCGAAGAGGCGGCAACAGAGCCGCGAAGGGGAGGGCGGCGACGGAGTCGCGTATGGGCGGCGACGAGGCCGCGTAGGGGCGACGACGAAGCCGCGTAGGGGCGGCGACGAGGTCGCGAAAGGGCGGCGACAGAGCCGCACGGGGGGGGAGGGCGACGAGGCCGCGAAAAAAGGGGGGCCGCTAAGGGACCGTAAGCGGGGGTCGCGAGGGGCCAACGAGGGGCCGCGAGAGGACGTTAACAGAGGGGCCGCGACGGGCCGTTAGAGATAGGCGCACGGGGCGCGACTAGGGTAGGCGCGAAGCGCGCTCCGGGCAGGAAAAAAAAATTCGTTTTCCGTGGTGGGCCCTAGGAAACTTCCTGCTCTATACCATGTCAAGACTAGAGAGGAAAGTATGTCGATTAGGTTAGGGGAGGGGGTACAAGAGTATCGAGAGAATTGTTGTACCCTCTAAGAATCACCCCTACACAACCTAGAACTAAATAATATGAAACATATAATTTGACATTTACAACCAAGGAAAACAACAACCGGGTTCAGGTCCTAAATTGTACCCCCATAGTACCTACCCTGCTACACTATAGTCAACCAAACAAAACAATACAATTTCGAGTTGGATGTAACCGAATCTGTGCATTCAAATTATCATAACCGCAAAGCTTCCATCTTGGGTTCCTTTGCGAGCTCCTCCTTTCTGCTTGCACTGTTCATAGCGCATACAGTTTTGTGCCAAAGTGCACATTGTGCATCAAGCGAAATTTGCGAAAGTACACAAACATACCATTCACACGCAAATGCATTCGCATATACACACTCGCAATAGACGACTGGATATCGTGCAATATAGGTTTGAACTTAACAGCCTAACTCCCATTGTTTGAGTTATCTCCACATTACCTAGCAATATGACTGGTAGTAGGAGTAAGTGAACTACGTAGCCGTATGAGTGGTACATAGAGTACATGCGTTATTTTGCGATATGGGTGGTAACAAGAGTAAGTGTGTTACTAAACCGTTTAGGTGGTACCAAGAATAAGTGCTATATGAGAAGTACTAAAAAATAGTGCGTTACTTAGTTGTATGGGTGGTACCAAGAGTAAGTGCGTTACCTAGCAATATGAGTGGTATTGAGTGTAAATGCGTTACTTATCAATATGACTTGAATCAAGAGTTACTTAGAGATATGAGTGCGTTACTTAGCTATATGACTAATACTAAGAGTAGGTGCGATACTTAGCGATATGGATGTTACTAGGAGTAAGTGCATTAATTTAGCCGTATAAGTGGTACGGGAAGTAAGTGCTCTATTTAGCGATATGAGTGGTACTAAGAGCAAGTGCGTTACTTAGCGATATGAGTGGCACTAACTGTAACTGCGTTACTAGCCATATGAGTGGTACCAAGGTTAAGTGCGTTACTTAGCGATATGAGTGGTACTACGATTAAGTGCGATATTTAGCCGTATGAGTGGTACCAAGAGTAAGTGCGATACTTAGCGATATGAGTGGTATTAAGAGTAAGTGCGTTACTTAGCCGTATTAGTGGTACTAAGAGTAAGTGCGTTACTTAACGATATGAGTGGTACTAAGAGTAAGCGCGTTACTTAGCAATATGAGTGGTGTCAGAATGCTATTATTGTCTAGCCTGCAGTGGGGTACTCTATAGCGAGTACAGCCCAATCTAGGGTTTGCTATTTGTACTCAACTGCCTGCTAGTTCAACCCCCCTCCTTTCATCCATTCTTGCCTAGTTCTTCTGACATGGTATCAGAGCAGGTCGACCCTCCTGGGTCGATCCTGTGGGTGGGCCCACCACCTAAGCCTTCCGCTGCTACTGCTACTGCTACTGCTACTCCCTGTCCGCCGCGCGCCCCGTGGCGCGCGGCGTCGAAACTAGGGTTTTCAGCCCGCCGTGCGCCCCGAGGCACGCGGCGGTTTTCTGCCCGCCGTGCGCCCCGAGGCGCGCGGCGGTTCTCTGCCCGCCGTGTGCCCCGAGGCGCGCGGCGGGTTCCTGCCCCGTCACTCGGCACGTCGCCCCCGGGAGGCGCTGCGACGGGCGACGGGGACCCGCGCGTCGCCCCCCGTCGCCCGTCGTGGCCTGCGCGCGGCCCGTACACCCGGCACGCGGCCCGTACGGGAAGCGCCAGGCCCGCGCGCGGCTCGGGCCGCCTGCGCGCGGTTCGGGCGGCTCTACCAGGCCCGTGGGCGGCCCGTTCCTCGCTGCTCCTGCCCTCTCCACTGTCCCCCGTGCTTCTACCGGCGCCTCACCCCTCCTACAGCCCGTTCTCCTAAATTAGGGTTTGGGGGTGAAGAGTGTGGGGGTGGCGGCTATGGGGGTGTCGGTTGTGAGTTCCTCCCCCTGCTCCTCCTCCTCCCTCGTCTCCCTCTGCTACAGCTGCCGCTGAGGGGGGTGGTGTGTGGGAGCCTAGGGTTTGGGGTTTAAGGGGGGTACCGTCGGAGTGGAGCTAGGGTGTCAGCAGGGGGTGTGTGAGAGGGGCGTGGGACGGTCGGGGGAGATTGCGTGGAGGTAGCCGTCGTGACGCCAGCAGCGCCAGTAGTCCGGATGCCCTCGCGCGTTTCGGTAGCCCAGCGAGCCTGCTTCGCCAGTCGCCTGTGGGTCCGTTGCTCCTGTGTGTGCTCGTCGTAGCCGCGGAGCCAGATACTCCCGTAGTCCGGTGCCCTCGTGCGCTCGGTAGCCACTGTGCGCGCCGCTCCTGTTGCCCGTGTGTCTGCAGCTTCAGTCGGCGCCTTTCATCTTCTCTCCTCTCGCCAGCCCTCCTCCTCCTCGCTTGCCCTCTGTGACTGCCTCTAGCTTTGCTCATAACTGTGAACTTTAAACTATTGCTTCTTGAACTTGTGCTCAGAATGTGTGGTGACATTGTGATCCACCCTGAGCTTGTACTGCTTTGCTTGCTCTGCTGATTACACCCCACTTTGGCTATGGGGGTGTGTCAGAATGCTATTATTGTCTAGCCTGCAGTGGGGTACTCTATAGCGAGTACAGCCCAATCTAGGGTTTGCTATTTGTACTCAACTGCCTGCTAGTTCAACCCCCCTCCTTTCATCCATTCTTGCCTAGTTTCTTCTCACAAGTGGTACTAAGAGTAAGCGCGTTACTTAGCGATATGAGTGGTATTAAGAGTAAGTGCGTTACGTACCGTAGTACTAAGAGTAAGTGCATTACTTAGCGATATGAGTGGTACTAAGAGTAAGTGCGTTACTTAGCCGTATGAGTGGTACCAAGAGTAAGTGCGTTACTTAGAAACATGAGTGGTATTAAGAGTAAGTGTGTTACTTATCGTTATGAGTGGTACCAAGAGTAAGTACGTTACTTAGCAATATGAGTGGTACTAAGAGTACGTGCGTTTCTTACCATATGAGTGGTACCAAGAGTAAGTGCGTTACTTAGCCGTATGAGTGGTACCAAGAGTAAGTGCGTAACTAAATAATATGAGTGGTGCTAAGAATAAGTGTGGTACTGTAGCGTTTAGATGGTACCAAGAATAAGTGAAATATGAGTAATAATGAGAGTAAGTGCGTTACTTTGCGATATGAGTGGTACTGAAAGTAGGTACGTTACTTAGCCGTATGAGTGGTACCAAGAGTAAGTGCGTTACTTATTGGTATATGAGTGGTATTAAGAGTAAGTGCGTTACTTATTGATATAAGTGGTAACAAGAGCAAGTGTGTTTCTTAACAGTTTATGTGGTACGAAATCTAAGTGCAATATGAATAGCATTAAGAGTAAGTGCGTTATTTAGCGATATGAGTGGTACTAAGAGTATGTGCGTTACTTTTTTCGTATGAGGGGTACCATGAGTAAGTGCGTTACTTAACAATTTGAGTGGTACTAACAATAAGTGCGTTAGTTAGCCGAATAAGCGGTACCATGAGTAAGTTCATTATTAAGCAATATGAATGGGTCGAAGAGTTAATTGTCAGAATATTAATGTGTGTCTAGCCTGTAGTGGGGTACTCTATAGCGAGTACAACCCGATTTAGGGTTTCGTATATGTATCCTGCTGCTGCTAGTAAAAAGCCCTCTTTCGTGTTTCTCGTTTTGCCTAGCTATTTCGACATGCTATCAGAGCAGGTCGACCCTCCTGGGTCGATCCTGTGGGTGGGCCCCACCCGATGCTTCCGCTGCTCTACTGCCTGTAGCGCGCCCCGGGCGCGCGCCGTTTTCTTACTGCCGTGCGCTCGGAGCGCGCAGTGTTTTATCTTCCCGCCGCGCGCTCGGGGCGCGCGGCGGTTTTCTGCCCGCCGTGCGCCCCGAGGCGCGCGGCGGTTTTCTGCCCCGTCGACCCGCGCGTCGCCCCCCGTCGCCCGCCGAAGCGCCCCCGGGGACCCGCGCGTCGCCCCCCGTCGCCCGTAGCGGCCCGCGCGACCTGCGCCAGGCCCGCGCGCGGCCCGTACAGCCCGCGCGCGGCCCGTACGGCCTGCGCCAGGCCCGCGCGCGGCCCGTACGGCCTGCGCCAGGCCCGCGCGCTGCTCGTACGGGCTGCGCCAGGCCCGCGCGCGGCCCATACAGCCCGCGCGCGGCCCATACGGCCTGCGCCATGTCGTAACAGTAGTAGAAAGTAAGAATGAAGAAAGGAGGGTTTGCACTAGCAGCAGTTGGCATACATATAGGAAACCCTAATTGGGTTGTACTCGCTATAGAGTACCCCACTGCAGGCTAGACAATTATAACATTCTGACACACCCCCATAGCCAAAGTGGGGTGTAATCAGCACAATGAGCAAGCAAAGCAGTACAAGCTCAGGGTGGATCACAATGTCACCACACATTCTGAGCACAAGTTCAAGAAGCAATAGTTTAAAGTTCACAATTATGAGCAAAGCTAGAGGCAGTCACAGAGGGCAAGCGAGGAGGAGGAGGGCTGGCGAGAGGAGAGAAGAGTGGAGGCGACGACTGAAGCTGCAGACACACGGGCAACAGACGGCTCTGGTGCAACTCTAGTGGCTACCGGGAGCAAGTGCCCCGGAATACAGGAGTAACAGGCTCTGCGTCTGATCAGCAGCGACAGGAGCAACGGACCCACGGGCGACAGGTGCAACCGGCTCTCTGAGCTACCGGTGGCTATCAGAACCCCGGAATACAGGCGCCGTAGACGACACGACGGCGGCCTCCGCTCAACCTCCCCCAACAGTCCCACACCCCTCGACACACACCCCCTGCTGCGCCCCTAGCTCCACTCCCCCTTCACCCCCCTAGGACCACTCCTTCGGCTCCCCACACAACCACCCCCCTGAGCGGCAGCTGCAGCAGCGGGAGACGGAGGAGGAGGAGAAGGAGGGGACGGGGCACACAACCGGCACCCCCACACCCGCCACCCCCACACTCCACATCCCCAAACCCTAAAACGGGTGGGA